CAGTAGGGGTGAAGATTCTAGTTATATACCACCTCAATTTCTCCGTGTTTGATTACATGAAAAAGTTACATCTTTAGCAACAGGGCTTTACCCATCATATTATCGAGATAGTTTGTGATGTTTGGTGGAAGGGAACCTATGGGACCCCATTGCCCAAGGGCAGAAGTAAACCATGGAATTGATGTTTGAATCTAGAAGGGATGACTAGGCTCAACCAGATTTTCTTCTGTATGGCAAATAAGACCCTGGAAGATGTTTATCTCCTCTCTCTATCTCCTTTTAGTCCCATAACCTTTAGGCATAAATAACACACCACTATATAGTTCTATTCTTTAATGACATCAAAGCTGTAGCTTCTTTTTCCATTAAAGTATTTTTGAGGAGGTGCAAAGATGCCTTAGTGATTAAGAGCACATATCATTCTTGCAGAGGCCCTAAGTTCCAGTACCCATATTGGGTAGCTTACAACCACATGTAACTCCAGCTCCAGGGGATTGGCTCTTTGCTGTTTGGTCATCTGTACTCACATACCCACACACGTACACACACACGTACACACACACACACACACACACAGACACATACATATACATGTACCCACACACACACACACACACACACAAACCAACATATAATTTAAAATAAACCAATTTTTTAAAAAAATCTTTCAAGTAATTTTGAAAGAAAACATTTTAAAATTATTTTATTAGTATACACATTTTGTCTGCATGTATGTATATGCACCACATATGTGCCTGGTGCCCTTGAAGATTCAAAAGAGGACATCATATCTCTGGAGTTATAGTTTCCAGTCTCTATCTACATGGGTGTCCTGTCCAGCAGGGCATTAAACAGGGTCTGGGGATATAACCTAAGAGAGAATGGGGGGAAAAACGGGCTAACTCAAAGAACCACAGCTTGTCTATAAGCTGATCAAACCATATTTTTTGCTTTTTTCACACAGGGGTTATGTACACAAAAAGGCAGGATGTAGGGAAAGGGATGACATTGGAGCGAAGGTGTTCAGGGGGAGTACAGATATCTTCCAGAACCAAGTATCAGCTTGATGAAAGTTCAGGGGACAGATCACTATGACTTTGCCTATAATTCACTTGTCCTTATCTAAGTTGGTACTATCTACCAAGGCTACCTATCTACAAGGTCTATGACTATTTAGGCTGGCAATTTTCCACCAAAGCTGTTTGTTTACAATAGCTTCTAGTCATCTGTTTCAGTATTTTTCCACAGAGACCCAAGACTTTGTGTTAGCAGGTATGTATGTCAGGCCTATTGCTGATTTTTAGGCCTATGGCTGTTTTTAGGCCTTCAGTGTATAATAAGCAGGGCTGCCCCTGACACATGGGTACAAGGAAATGAACCCAGGTCCTCTTCAAGAGCAGCAAGAGCTCTTACATTCATGTGTGCATGTGCACACACACACACACACACACACACACAAACACACACCTATTTGACCATGTGTACATTTATTTCCTATTATAGTATGTATTTATGTAATGGAAATTGTCAACTTCAAGAAAAAGAATAGCTTCACAAAACCTTCTGCTAGTTGTTTACTGAGATTTGCAGATAAGCTCATCATTCTGTTTAAAGTTTCACCAAAACCTCCATGTATTCTTTATTTATTTTTATTCTTTAATTTTTTTTTATAATCCAGACTTTATCCCCCTCCTGGTCTGCCCCACGATCCCCATCCCTTCCCTCCTCTCGCCAGTCTCCACCCCCACCCCCATCCCACTAGGCCTCCCCATTCCCTGGGGCTTCAAGTCTCTCCAGGGTTAGGTACATCTTCTCTCACTGAGTCCAGACCTGGCAGTCCTCTGCTGTATAAGTGTTGGGGGCCTCATATCAGCTGGTGTGTGCTGCCTAGTTGGTAGCTCAGTGTCTGAGAAATCTCAGAGGTTCAGGTTAGTTGACACTGCTGGTCTTCCTATGGGGTTGCCTTCCTCCTCAGCTTCTTCCAGCCTTTCCCTAATTCAACCACAGGGGTCCCCGACATCAGTCTAATGTTTGGGTGTAAGTATCTACATCTATCTCAGCCAGCTGCATGTTGGACCTCTTGGAGGGCAGCCATGCTTGGCTCCTGTCTGTAAGCATACCATAACATTAGTAATAGGGTCAAGCCTTAGAGCCCCTCCTTGAGATCTATCTCAAGTTTGGCCGGTCATTGAAACTCCTTTCTCTCATGCTCTTCTTCATTTTTGTCCCTGCAGTTCTTTTAGACGGGGACAATTCTGGGTCAGAGTTTTTGACTGTGGGATGGCAAACCTGTCCCTCTACTTGATGCCCTGTCTTCCTACTGGAGGTGGGCTCTACAAGTTCCCTCTCCTCCCTGTAGAGCACTTCATCTAAGGTCCCTCCCTTTAAGCCCTGAGCTTCTCTCACCTCCCAGGTCTCCGGTATATTCTAGAGGATCCTCCCCTACCTCCATGTATTCTTTAAAAGGCTTGATTTGAACACTTTGAACAGTGTGTGTGTGTGTGTGTGTGTGTGTGTGTGTGTGTCTGTGTGATGTTTCAATTGCCTACAACTCATTCCTCACCTCTTTGCTGATCTGTTGCCTGGTCTCTGTCTACTAAAATAGAATGCTTTAAAAAGTTTTCCATGAAAACAAAATTTTGTTTTTGTGTTTTTCTGTTTACTATGCTTGTTTGGTCTTCTGTGATGGATTTGTCCTATATTTAACAATATCCAGTTTTAGCAGAGAACACCACACTGTATTTCTCTCCTGTGTTATCTTCTGTTTCTGTTATTTCAGAGCAATTGCCTCGCTCCCCTCTGGAGCTATTTATACTCTAAATTTTCTGTTGTGTTTTACCTACATATTCAGCTGTGTCGACATTAGGTCCAATAAAATGAAATTCATGCAATTTCACTGTTTGTTGCCATCACATGGGTTCATTAGACATTTCATAAAAATTGTACGTAAAGACTCATACTTTCTCATATCCTTCGATCAAAAGCAAAATAGTTATGACAATTAAAGTATATAGTAACAAAAAAGAAAATAATAGAAAAATTTCATACCTTCCTTCAATACATAAAGAAATATGTTAGGAATATTGGTATATGGAAGAAATCTATTCTACCCTTTTGTTAGCAAAACTGACATGCTGTATTTCTGAAGTTTTCCATTACCTGAACTTGAGCATTTGTGCTCTCAGAATGTCAGACAGACAAAAGAAATGATGAAAATCTTAGTGCCATGTCACTGTACCTCCCTACTGCCTCCCATGTAGACCCCAATTAGCCTCCCTTTCTGTATAGCCTCCTGCCTGCTTGCATTGTTAACTTTTATTCTTTATTGTTTGCTCATCTGACTCTCAGATAGGTCTTGCAGTCTGGTCTGCCAGTTTCCTACTTCCAAGTTTACATAGTCTCAGATTTCATTAAAAAAAAAACATATCTTTCCTTTGAGAGTACAGTGGAGCATTGTATAAAGATGTTTGGAGCAGTCACTGACAGTGATCCCATAATTTGTAGCTTAGTAATGTAGTATACCTCTTAATTTGTGGAGTTATATTCTGTGCTGTTCAGTCAATGATTAAATCACCTAAGGATGGTTTTTCTCAAAAATTGTCCCTGACATTAAGCAGCCTATGGTTATATCTTAAAGTAAAAGAGGTTGTGGTAGAGATGTGTGTGATTGTGATTTCTATCCTTAGCAAAATGAAATATATAAGCATGTAAGCGATACTAGTGTAGTATATTTTAGGGAAACCAGACCATGGAATGAGAGGACAGAGTTTTGCTCATGAGAATGAAAAATAATGGAAATAACCCCTTGCTTCTGCCATGGGATCTTCCTGTTTCTAGGGAAACTCCACAGTATTCCATTTTCCTCTTTTAAGAGAGACAGTCTGTGATGGATAAGTATTAACCTGCATATTTTTTTCTTGATATTGAAATAGAACTGACCACCAGTAACTAGTAAAATACATTATAGCCTTAAGTTTACATTTCTTTTGTTATTGGGAAAACTGTTTACTGCATGAAATGGCTTGTATGCATTTCATTTGAAGTTATATTTATAATTGCTGTGCCGCTTCCCCTTAGGTATGTGAGAGAGCACTTAATTATCATTGATTCTTTGTCTGGAAGCACTGACATTTCAGAGCAAAGCTTAGGTGTATCATGTGGTTAGAAAAATACCAGTGTTGCATTTTCAATTTGGCTAATAAATTGGCTTTAGAGAAAAGCATCGTTTCATGACACTTGGGAGTAAAGCTAGTGATTTGCTGATGAAAGTTTACTTTTGTTAACTGTTTTCTTTTGGCACAGGACTAAACACTACTTCAGACTCAGGGAATCTACCCTACCTTTAAAAGTTCTTCTAAGTGTCAGAAAAAATGCACATTGTGAAATGCAATTTAAAGGGAAAGGAGAAAGAAATGAGCCTTCTGTTTGAGAGCCATCTAGATTATTCAGTTTGCCTAGAGAAAATTGGAGGGAAGTTGGTTATTTTTTCTTTGTTGGTGTGAAGGCAACAAAGGGATGCTGAAGTGTTTATTTCAAGGGGAAAAAAATTGCTTACTGATTAGAAATGCACACCTAGAAGTTGAATTTACACAACTCTAACCATCCAGATTCATCTAATTGATCTCTAACAATAATATGAGAATGGGCTTTCAGGCTGTCTTGGGAAATCCCACATTTTTTTCCTACTCAGGTAGAATGACTATAGACTAAGAAGACAGCTCCCTTTAAATCTCAAATAGTCACTGATAGTCCAGGGAAGGGAGTCATGTATCTTTGCCTATGTGTTCCTCCACTACCAGTGAGATCTGAAAACAGCTTTTGAGTTTGAATGCTGGTAAAATGGGATCAACTTAGAAGCTGGGGGATAAAAACAGAAGACCTTTAAAAGAAGGTGGAATTTGGATTTGGTGTTTATTCAACAAGCATTCTTAAAGGAAAAGGAGTGAAAATCTTGATGTTTTGCGTCATTTGTGCTTTTGTGTGTTTTTTTTTTTTTGCAGTGGATCTCTTGAGCCTGTCGGCTGCATGTGATGCATTGGACCAGCACAATCTCAAGCAAAATGACCAGCCCATGGATATCCTGCAGATAATTAACTGTTTGACTACTATTTATGATCGTCTGGAGCAAGAGCACAACAATTTGGTCAATGTCCCTCTCTGTGTGGATATGTGTCTCAACTGGCTTCTCAATGTTTATGACACGTACGTATGGCAAGAGGGGACCTAGCTTATGCAGTGATGACAGTATTGCCATTACAATACTGTTCTAGAAGCTATGGATGTCATCTTCCTGGGGTAAATCATTTATGTATATGACTTGAAATATATCTGATAAGCTAGCAGCAAGAATTAGAATGCAGCCTTTAATCACAGAGGGAGAGGATTTTTCGGAGTTTGGGGCCAAACTGATCTACACAATGAGTTTCAGGACAGCCAGAACCACATAGTGACACTCTATCTCAGAAAAAAAAAAACTGGAATGCAGACTGCTCTCAGGTCAGAATTCAAATAGAACTGAGATAAGTCATCCTTTTTTTTTTTTTCTTCAAATAGAATGAATTATCCTGTCCCTGTGGTTCTTTTCTCAGTTGAGTTTTGGAGTTCCTTCATCCATTTTGGAGTGAGTCCTCTCATTGGCAAGAATGACAGCGCTCCTGGAAATGCTGGTGTACCTGTCATCAGATCAGAATTGTCTTAACAGATATGTAGAACAATTGTGTAGAAAATTATGAATCGATGAATCACACACAGTGAAAATAAGCTCCAAAACAGCAAACTCAGCTCCTGAAACTAAGCAAAGACTGTGGTTGTTGTTTTGAGTTTTACTATGGTTTTACTGAGCTGCTCTTTGGCACCTCCATTCATCAGCCTCTCTTAGTTAGAGAACAGTCATTTATTTCTTTTGGATTGCACACAGGACATAGCTCCAGTTCTCATTTTTGCCTTGTGTTTAATGGACACAATTGAGGAAGGAAGCAGAAGGAATTGGTCTTGATTTCTCACTGATTTCCTCTTAGGCCTGAGAATTATTACATGCCTCATTTCACATATCAAGAAGTACACACTCCCATTTGGAAATCTAGGATGATTTTCTTAAAGGCATTGCACATCAAATACTTTGCCTTCTGCTTCTGTTGTATGTATCTATTTTCTCATTTATGAATATATAAACACAGTGTTTTCTTTGTTACTTTGGTAAGATATTAACTTTTTGAAGTTTTAGGACCACTAGACTATTAAATGCATACACTTATCTGCTTGGTTGTTGAGCATATCAGATTTTAATTGTGGATTACATTCACATTTGTTTTAATAAGGGTTTATATTCAGGTTTCCCTCATATTTTTTGTCATCATTTTCTTTGCAGATGAGATGTGAATGGATTCTGAACTTTGATTCAATCTACCTGAAAATTATTTGAGGATAATTTTAACTCCTTAAAGACTTTAATTGTTACATAAAGTCTACCTATTAAATGTTGACTTGCCTTTTCCCTAATAACAATAAGATAAATTTTTGGAGTGATAGGAATTTCATTAAAGCATTTGAGTCTAGGATTTTTCTTTAGACAAGAGACCTAATGTAAGTTGTACTGATTAAAAATTTAGCATATTGCCCAAGAAACATATCAAAATCTGAGATTCAATTACTTCCCAAAATAAAATAAGAAGCTAAAAAGTTATTGAAAAACATCTTTTTTTAACAAAATGGAACCCTGTTTGTTCATTCAATTTTTCTTTTTTTTAACCCCATAGTTAAATTTTCGTGTTAATAACCTTTTGTGTGGAACTCTTTATTCCACTTTCTAATGTAAAAAAGCATAGCCATATTAGAATGTTGATGTATGAACAGGTTATTTTATATACATATATATATCTTGTAGAGCATGTATTTTGAATGCATTATGTTAGAGTATGTCATGAGTTCATTAGATATAAATATTCATATTTTAAATTTTTCTTGTGACCTGAAGTGATGACTAATCTTCTGAGTAAGCAGTAATCTGATGGAATTCTGGGAGTGCCAAACAGAGAAGGATAGTTAGTTGCTAGAAATTGTTTTTGGCTTGACAATTGGCTTTAGTAACCAGAACTGCTGATACACAGTGATAATTCTTTCTCATACTCACTCAAGGTGGCTCTCTGTAGATGTGTAGAAAGGTATTTTATCCTTATTTTGTGTAGAGCTACACTGGCAATTCAAGTGAGGGCTTTTAAGTGTTGAAAATTGGGTAAATATTCATTAACTTGATTCATTAAACTTTTCCATTGCATGAGACAAATTCTAGGTCATGAGACAAATGATAATGAATTCAGAAAAGTTCTCAACAACCTTAATCAAACAATGGCCTATAGAGTTCCTTTATCTAGGGCCCTTTTGCCTGTTAACTAGGAATTTCTACACTCTATTGGTATGCCAGTAATTGTTTTCTGTTTTGCTTCTTCATAATAGGGGACGAACAGGGAGGATCCGTGTCCTGTCTTTTAAAACTGGCATCATTTCTCTGTGTAAAGCACACTTGGAAGACAAGTACAGATGTAAGTCATGTGTATTAACTCTCCATTCTTTATTGATGTTGCCTAATTACCTTTGTTCTAGATGGGAAATGATAATCCATTCTTATTTGACAGCAGGTTTCTTGCATAAGATACAGAGCTGCTTTTAAAGGGTCATAAAATTTGGGTTATGCTGTTTCCTGTCAGACATTAAATTGAAGGTATTTAAATAGAGAATGAGGATTAGCTTCTCCAGTCCGAGTATTATTTTATGTTACATTGACTGTGTCTGAATGAAACACATGTTCCAAGGGGATAAAGTCTGATTTCCTAAACCCTTTGTGTAAGTCAGGAAAAGAAATGCGAATGTTTAATCCCTGCATTTCCCCTGCCTTTAGATTCCCATTTAAAGAATACTATTTAGCATTTATGTCCAAAATACATTGTTTATTTTATAATCATCTTACTGCAAGTTGTACTGACACAATCAATTCTGTGACGTGACTAACATTTTACTGTTTGATGGATGGCTAGCCTGCTATTTCTTAAAAGGTAAATAGCACCCCCTAGAATTTTCTTTTGATTAGGTATTGGGATCTTCTACTTTAAAAGTGTAAATCTAAAGTGAAAAGCAAAGGACTGAGAGCTAGGATGAGCACGTCACCTTCTGTGGCCATCCTTACTATAGAGGACTGTTTATGTTCTTCCCCTTGAGATGTTTGTAAGAAGTGTTTGCAGGAGGAATTGAACCAATCTAGACTAGGCTTCCTACCTACAAACTAGTCATATATAAATGAAGAGGTTTGCTGGGTGTAAAGATCAGCAGGAGGCAAAAAGTCATGGCATTACTACAAAGTCACCTGTGTCATGGTGCTCATTTTTGTGGGATAAACCATAGCATACACAAACCACTGTAGCACTGACTTTAGTTCCCATGGAATTTTCCTTTCCTAAGAACTAAACAAAATCAAAACCACCCCTGCACAAAGAGAAACAATGTCTTTTAACCCTTTAAAATTATTTTAGATAAAAGAATATTTCTGGGTGTGTTCCTCTTTTAAATATTATAGTTACTTATTTTAGGTTGGATTTGTTGCCTTTTAAAAAGTGAGTTGCCCTGTGTTCCTGTCTCCACTTAATATTTACAAGATCAAGGCCATTCTTGACTACCTAGTGAAACCCTTTCTTCCAGACAACAAATACAGAAACAGTAAGGGAGACATAGAAAATCAATGATAGTATAACATGATAGAAACTAATTACACATAGACACAGTATCCTGTGTGAGCATATATGCCAATCTCAGTAAAGCTTAACGGGCTTATGACTCTGTAATATATATATATTAGTTATTCAAGGATTGTGTTTTGTTTTGAACAGTTCAGGTGTTAAGAATATATTTAGGGAGCTGATGAGCTGGCACAGTGGGTAAAGATTCTTGCTGCCAAGGCTGTTAACCTAAGTTACATTCCCAGAATCCATATGGTAGAGGGAGAAAACCAATTTGTGTAAGTTGTCCCCTGACCTCCACATGCTGTAAATGCATGAATACATAATAAATCAATAAAACTGTAATTTTTAAAAAGTACATAGGTAAAGGCCCTTGCCACTGCAGCTGATGATCTAAGTTTGATCCTTAAGACCCACAAGGTTGAAAGGAGAGAACTGACTCCTGTAAGTCTTGTTTGACATGAACACATGTCAACCACATGATAATATGTGATTGCCATTCTACATATAAGTAAATGAAATTTAAAAAATACATGTAAACTCACCTTTTTTACAGGGCTATAGTGTATTTAAATTTTACACGTCATGTCTAGGTAGTGATGATTAGCCTAATTTATAGAAATATGTTTTTATTAGCCTAAATTAGCCTTAATCCCTTTCAGCCTAACATGGAGAAAGCCATAAATTCAGTTCCAAGAACTGTGTAAAGCCACTTAGCATTCAGGAGGTAGTCAGGAGAATAAGAAGTTTAATGCTATCTTCAAATATATAGCAAGTTTAAGGCCAGGCTGCACTACATTAGACCATCCCCCACCCTCCACCCCCTCCTGAAAAAAAGAAAAAAGAAAAGTAAAAATGAAAAACAGTGAGCCTCTTTTGTGAGAATATTGGCTATTCCTGTGGAATAGTACTCACTGAACTGGACATTGGGTTCTGTTTATGTCCACTTATGCTTTAATTTTTATGACTCTCTTTTTTCTTTTATAGACCTTTTCAAGCAAGTGGCAAGTTCAACTGGCTTTTGTGACCAGCGTAGGCTGGGTCTTCTTCTGCATGATTCTATTCAAATCCCAAGACAGTTGGGTGAAGTTGCCTCCTTTGGGGGCAGTAACATTGAGCCGAGTGTCAGGAGCTGCTTCCAATTTGTAAGTTACTCACATTTTTGTTTTTCTGTGTGTGTGTGACAGGGCAAATGTTCTACCACCAGTCAACCCCATGCCCCACCCCCACCCCACATATACATAGACACATCCAGCCCTCCCTGCAAGCCTTACAGTAAGATTTAAGGTTTGTCTAGTGTCTATTTGTACAATATACTACCACTCTTGTTCATTTTGCATTTCCTACCCCATTGATTCTTTCTGTCCTTTATTTTCGGCTTCTTCTTCTTTTCCTCCTTTTCTTCCTCCTCCTTCTCCTCCTCTTCCTCCTCCTCCTCCTCCTCTTCCTCCTCCTCCTCTTCCTCCTCCTCTTCCTCCTCCTCTTCTTCCTCTTCCTCCTTCTCCTCTTCCTCCTTCACATCCTTCTCAATGCCTAAGCACTCTGCTGTGATAGCCATGTAGGCTGTATCTATTTTTAGTAAAGTATGTAGTATTGATAAATAGTGCTATAATGAACATCTTCATGTGATTGTTTTTTCTTAAAAATCTCTCTCTCTCTCTCTCTCTCTCTCTCTCTCTCTCTCTCTCTCTCT